CAACCTACTAGCGATGATGGCCTCCAACCTAGTAGCGATGGCCTCCAACCTAATCGAGATGGCCTCCAACCTAGAAGGGATGGCCTCCAACCTAGGACAAGATGCGCAAGCAAAGTGATCGTAGTGAACCTTGGAACACTAAGGAGCGTAGACTAGTGTAGAGCATCGGGTTCAGCAGCATGGAGGTGGGAGGCTGTGACTTCACGTTGTCGATCAAGGTGCCTTTTGCCAACGAGTTGGCCAGCGACGACGAGGAGCTGTTTGCCCCTGAAGAAGCTGAGGCACCGACTTCTCCAATCACTGCTGCTATCACAAGGCTCGATGCTAAGGAAGGAGTGCTGAAATGGGGAATGGAGATGATGGAGAAGAAATCGCTGGAATGGGGCTGCACGGGCAGAGTTTAAATTCAAAAAAGTTCGATGACCCGGCACGCTTTCCACCCCATGGATCAGAAAATCTGTCGACTTAGAGATGTTCAGATGTCAACGCGTGTTAGACGTTAAAAGATGTTTTGCGTTTGATTATGTATGTGCCAGGCAGCGTGTCTCTCTAGACAGCGTGGCAGTGGTGCGTAGTGTGCCACTGTCTCGGCCTGCATCAGCCAGTGAGGTTCGCCAGGACGAATTTGTCGAAAAAGACATGCCGTGCACTTTTGTTAAGTGTCCCTAAAAATCTATAGGAGCCTAATCATTAGTGCGAGCGCTTCTTCAAGGAAGCCCCCGCCCTCAGGCAGGGGGAGCTTCCTTGAAGAAGCGTGAGCTATCCTGCTAGAAGCTAACTAGTGCCCTTGAATTAAGTAGGCCCCTACTTAATAAGCAAGGAGGGCAGAGGGCGTAGCGGGCTAAAAGGAAAAACAGAGCTGAAAGCTTTTCTTTTCATTTCCAGAAAGGCACAAAGCCTGCCATGGCAAACGCTCCTCCAGGGAACCTATTTCCCAGAGAGTTCAAGAGACCAAAATGTTGTATTGTTACTAGTAGCGATGGCCTCCACCTAAAAGAAGCGTCCTTGTTACTAGCGTCCTTAGATCAGGTTTTCTCAACCATTTGGGGTTCCCAAGTTGTAGTAATTGCTTGATAACATCTAGCGACTTGATAGACGCTGTCATACTATGCTGAGCCATTTTGCCGCATGTGATTGATCGCCCGGTTGGAGGACATTGTTCGGCCATCAATCTCCAGGAGCCATCTATTTGCGCTCACCTACTGTGAACTGGTGATAGGGCCTGATAGGGATAAGATGATCGAAGCCAAGATGAAAACAAAGTGTGAAAACTGATGTGCAAACACGAGTCGAATCATATTGTGCTTCGCTGGAGTTTCTGCCGACCCCAGTTGCGGAAAAATGCCATGCCGAGTCTCAACTCGTACATTGTTCTTGTGCCGAACTTGGTGGCTTCGCACCGTTTTTTGGGGGGGTTCAGCCCTTTACATAAGTTTTACAGTAAAACGTAGTTCCTTCATGGTGACGGTTGAACATCCTCCTCCCTATTAGCAAGCCCACATCCGGCGATGGACGTGCAGGAGTGGCACAAAGGATCTTGCAGAGAAGGCTGGGACCGAATGCGAAGACTGGACATCAGACACCCCTAACCCCACCACAGCTATTGACAATCTTTGGGAAATTCTAGGTGGAACCAACAAGATCAGATGCTCAGACATCAGACTCGCCATATACATTCGCAATGGTTGGAATTATCTAAGAAAGGAAAAAGGAACGGAAGCAAAGGCAAGGTCTAGAAGCCGAAGAAGATAACAAAGAAAACAGTAAGCAAACGTGTTCTATCTTAAGAGATCGAACAAAGAAGTTGTTCAAGAACGCCATCACGAGAAACTTGGACAAAAACTTGTACGCAGTAGCGACGGCACTGGCCTCAACCTACTAGCAATGGCCTTCAACCTACCAACGATGGCTTCACCCTACAAGCAATGGCCTCCACATCCTGTTTCTGGGCTTTCACCTTCGCTGCCTTCGCAGGTGGAGGTCCAGCTTCGACCGCTGTCCCGGGAGGAGTCTTTGCGCCGAAGCGCCAGTGCCGTGAGTTTCTTCAAGGCGAAGCGCCAGTGCCATCGGGCCGCGCGTGTCCGTTTAAAACCCATTCATCCAGGAGCCGACAAGCACACGCCTGATAGCATCCGTTTGCTAACGGATGTTCCGATTTAGTTTAATTCATGTCCACCTACCTCTGCAGATCAAACTTCCCTGAAAAATTGAGGCGTCGCAGGCGATCAATCGCCGGAGTTTCTCCAACGAAGCCTTGGGCAATGCGTTGGCTGCCGCACGGCAACGGCGTAGCGCCCAGGCGCACGTGCAGCAGCAGCTGCAGGCCTTGGAGGCACCAAGGGTGCGAAGCATTGCGAAGCGGAGGGTGGATGACGAGGGAAACGTCCAGGATTTTGGAAATGACGAGGAATGACGAGGAAAGCATGACATGTCGATGACACCCAGAAATGTTTGAACATGATTGAAAGCATATAACTGGATACATCGGACACCTTCGGATACATACGCCCCGCGGCAGACCCGAGACTTGACACTCTTGTGGGTCATGGAGCCATGGGCTCGCAAAAGGTATCCCTTACTTACATTCCCTTAGATTGCGCTCTACATCGCAGCCAAGACTTCCTCCAAAGGAGAGAAAGGAACTCTAATGTGGGGCTGAGAAGGGGGCCACTTCTATAGCCTGGCCTGAACTGTGTAGTTTCCAATGACTAATGGATTTCAATAATACCGAAATGTTTGATCTCCGTCGGCGCTGCAAGACAGGCACCAGAAGCTTCGCAGAAACCAGAAGCCTCGCCACCGAAGCCGCGCCGCCGCAGCTTCGCAGAGCAGTTCGGCTATGGTGGCCTGGCGGCGCCTGGCGTTCTTGGAGTGGGAACCGATGGAGGCATGTGGCATTACGCAATATGTTTTACACACTGTGTGTTACGCACCGGTCACCTTCAAAGCCCCGATGTGAGGATTTTCGAAGGAGCTGCACCAACCTTCTAAAGGAATGATTTCAGAAGCCGTCCTGAAGCCATTTCCAGCGGGAAAGCCTTTGTTTTTGCATGTTTTCTCGGGCCTTTGCAGACAAGTGTGACAGACAGAAGTACCAACAAGCAAAGTATCTTCAAGTCGTGATGTTGGTTTTGCTGTTGTTTGATTCACGCTTTCCTCAGCTGAGGTGTGATCCTGAAGACTCAGCCACCAGCTTCGCATGCACAAGACATGTCGGCGCCTGTCAAGCCCAGAATCAGCAGTGGGTTCATTGGAGCCATGGCTGCACCTCATGATCTCATGATTCAGTGGACATGGCTAGTAGGTTGGAGGCCATCGCTCTTAAGTTGGAGGCCATCGTTCTTAGACCGACATTGGTAGCCATCGAAGGCAAACATTCTTCTCATGCATTGAGCAATGGTCCAACCCGTCCAAGAAGCTTCTCAGGATTGCAAGCTGGGGATACAGATCTATTGCAACGATTGGCACGCAGGCGGGCAGCGTCAGGGGGATGAAGATAATGATTCCCATAATTGTACGTCGGAAAATATCATTGGTCATTATATAAATATATAAATATTTTTAATATAGATATATATGTGATATAATGAGATAATTCTATTTTTTTTGTTATATTGAAGATAAATTTATATGAAATTAAAACATACATA